GCTCCGGGCTGGGGAGTGTTGTGCTCAGGTGGCAGGTTGGGGTGCCGAGCAAGTCACAGGCTTGTGGATGTGAGGGTGCAGGAGTTTGGGTTGGATATATGAGGGGCTTAGAGCAAGAAGGTTGTGAGTATGATGGGCTCAGGACACAGATTTGCCATGTGTGGATGGTGCAGGAGTGCTGTGACAGAAGACTGAGGATGTGGGAAGGCAGGAGTGTGGGGATGTAAGAGGCTCAGGACGGGGTTCCAGTGTATGATAGGCTCAGATTTGGGGTCAGGTGGTGCAGGAGTGTTATGATGCTGCAGTGAGATGGGGGTTTGGCCCCAATTGGGGGCATGTTGGCCAGGCTTCATTTGACATATTTTATTTAAAAACTCAAAAGGTTTTAGCATTGTCTTTATTTATGAGAGGGGCGAGGAACCTGTTTTGAGTCAAGGGTCACTGACCCACAGAAAAGTCAGTTGGGGCCACACAAGTGAGATGCAAAAAAAACCCCCCAACAACCCTCCAAAACCCCCCAAGCCTCACTAATGTGGTCCGAACTGTGCTGGTGCAGGCAGGGGACAGGGTGCTAGTGGGTGCTGGGGCCAGGGAGAGGGTGCTGCTGGGTGCTGGGGATAGTGCTGGTGTGGGCAGGATAAGGGGCAGCTGGGACCAGTACCTGGCAATCCTGCAACACCTGCAACTGTACTTCCCCTCCCCAAACAGCTGGCGTGTGTGCTGCCTGAGCAGCAGGGGCTCTTGCACTCCAGCAACTTACTTCCACGATGCTGTCCTGCAGAGCAGGGAAGGCACAGTGAGTCCCAGGGCAGAGCACGCTGCCTGCACAGTCAGAGCTGCGCAGCCCCAGGTCTCCTGACCTCCCCCTCCACACACAGAAAGGCAACGGAACTAAGTTGCCAGGTGCCGCAGCCCCAGCTGTTCAGGCAGTGCATGCCGGCTCTTTTGGGGAGGGGAAGTGCTTTCCTTCCCGCTGTGGGTCACATGGAGTCACCCCTGTCTGGCACCCCCCTAATGTGCTGTCCAGGAGCAACTGTTCTCTCTGCCCTTGCCTCCTGACGCCTCTGCGTTGCCAGGGAGGAACGGGAAACAAGCTAGCCATCTCTCAATCTTTCAGAAGGGGCAGGGGAGTGCCAGCTCTTCGTGGAACCCCTACTTTCGCTTCGCAGAACCCCAGGGTTCCGCAGAGCACCCGTTGGGAAACATTGCTCTAGACAGTCCTTCGGTGCTGCGAGAAGCAATGTATCATCTATCAGCTTTCTTGCAACATCATTATTTCATTGTTTGTTACTTCGGTGTTTTTTATTTCCCCATCCCTATTTTTTCTTTCTTTCCACTTTTCCCACTTTGCTTTCATTTGTTTTTCTGATGTTTAAAAATCTGTTACTATTGTTTCTATGACTCAGCTTTTCCCTGGGGACAGCATCTGTTTTCATTCCCTTTTGGCAAGTAACCTTCAGACAGTCCTGGCTTTGTGCCATCCCGACGATAAACCGCACCCAGTTTTCCCTGAAAATGCAAGGGGAATCCTGACTTGTTCCCTGAGCAAATTCCTGAAATTCTGACTAGCTTGTTAGCAAATTCCTTGCTTCTTTTCCTGGCCACTAACCTCCTCACTTGTTTTCAATCTAGGAAACTAGGAAGCTCCGTAAGTCCATCTGAAAATCACAAGCTTGGCCACCGCCGGGCTAATTAATGTGGTCTGGGTCCTGGTACCCCCAAAATGAGAGGCAAGGTATGTGAGGTCATATCTTTTATTGGACCCATCACTGTTGGTGCAAGAGACAAGCTGTCGCAGACCTCAAGAGCTGGATGAGAGCTCGAAAGCTTGTCTCTTGCACCAACAGAGGTGGATCCAATAAAAGATATCCCCTTGCCTATATTGTCTTCAATGGGCTAGAACCAACAAGGCTACAAGAACATCACAAACCCATTAACTAACTTATCCTCTGCAAGAGGCTTATTAATGATCAAATTGCTGGCATGGCTTGTGTGGTGGCAGTGGCCAGAAAAAAGTCAACAAACCCATTGCCACCTCACTCCCCACAGCCTCCACACACCCACCTCCCGGTTAATGGCCAAACATGAGTCAGCCAAAGCCTTTCTGAATGAGAGGCGAGGTTGCTCCTTTCACTTCCCATTTGGGTCCAGCCAGTGTGGGATGGCGAAACTCCAGTCCGGATGGAGCCAATGGAATCTTCCCCAGTCAGTTCTTCATCACACGGGTTTGGCACACGGTCCCTATATAAAGGGGCAGCAGAAGCAGAGCTACGGACAGAAGGAGAAGAACAAAGTGAGCATCTCCCCAAGCTGCTGCATCTTGGCTCAGCCAGAGGGGCTGGAGGTAAGTGAGCCGGCCGGGTCCTTTTCTGGCTCAGCAGCTGCTGCTGTTTGCTGAGAGGCTGATTGTAACTAATCCATCCAACTGCTGATCTTGAGCAAAGCAGCACCTGGGCTTCAGGAACTGGGCTTCAGAAACTGACCTGCTTAGGGAGGACGTTCCCTCCTGTCAGAGGTGTAGCCAGGGGGTTATGTGCCCCGGGGGCAAAAGCAAAATTTGCGCCTCCCCTCCCCCGCCACGCAGCAGGGCCCCAAACCTGGCACATGGCTGAGGTTATAGCACATTTTCCCCTGCCCCCTCCAGTTTGAGGCCAGGCCCCTGCACACACTAACCCGTGGGCAGAGATGGAGGAGGGTCGGGCTGGGGGCAGAAAGGCACGGAGGAGACTCCAGCCAGCAGTGGTGGGCAGAGGAGGAACAGGCAAGCTGAGGGATTACAGGGGGAATGGAGCAGGACTAAATTGGCACCCCCCTAGTGTGGTGCCCAGCGACAACTGCCACCCACTCACTACACCCCTGCTGTGTTATGAGAGGCTGGCTGGTGTCCTGGACTGCGAGGCCCCATTCCTACCCAGCATGAGCTAAAGGGATTATTATCAAGAGACGTGTCTAAACCTTTGGCAAGCCTGTGCGGTGTTTTGCCCTATGAGGTCATGTGGCAGTGTGTTCCACAGGCTGATTGTACCTTAAGGGGAAAACATTCCTCTTGAATCACTCTTGTATTTATTCCCTTTCCATTTCATTTGCTGTCCATTGCTCAGACATGGGCAGAGATCTGGACCCCTGGCCTGGGACACTGGACAGTTGGGTTTTCACCCAGGCTGCATTGCTAGTTGACTCTAGAGAACATCACTTCCTCTGTCTGTGCCGTACTTTCCCTGTGTGCTGGGGACCCCAGCACTTCCCTGTACTCCCAGCGTAAGTAGCATGGAGATTGTGATGTGCTTTGCTAATGGAAGGCCATGTAATTTGCAAGCTGACATCTGTTCACTATTGGATCTCAAAGCACTTTACCAAGGGGGACAGTATTACTATCCCCCTTGTAGAGATGGGAAGACCAAGGCAGGGCATGACATACCCAAAGTCACCTGACCAGTGGCAGGGATAGAACCTAGGACCCATGCCCCTTCGCCCCGCATACTGCCCAGCAGGCAACACTGGCTCTGTAAGAGGCAGCTAAGGCTAGGTCTACACTACAGAGTCTGGATGCTGTCTTCTGGGAAAGTGCATTGCTTTTTTATGAGCTTTGGCAGTGTGGACACGCGCTTGCACAAGAAGTCTGTAGTGTAGACATAGCCTAAGTCTGCGAAAAAAACTCCAGACTACGGGTGGACACTTCTTTCCAGGCAGGAATCTCGGCCCAGGGCTGTTTCCGTGCAGCACGCCACGTGATCACCATTAATTCCAGATGTATTTTCCAGACGCTGAACCACGTGCTGAGCCATGGACCTCAGAAAAGCCAAGCTGCTCCTGTGGGCCAGGATGCTCGTGCTGTGGGGTGAGTGATCCTCTTTCTTCACAGCATGTGAAGTTTAGCACCTAACTATGGGTAACGCCGAGGACTTTGTCCCCCTTCCCATCCCTGATCTGGGACAGAAACCAGGAGCCCTGACGGGGTTATCATATGGCAGGGAGCAGGATGGAATGCTCACGGGGCGCGGGGCCGCAAGCTGCACTGAGTGGAGTCAGTGGAGGGTGCTGACCTGTGAAGAGTGGGCCAGGGGCTCAGCAGGGGGCGCTGGATGGCAGGGACTGTGGAGGGGGCTCAGCAGAAGGAGTTGTGCTTTGGGCAGCAGGCAGGGGCTCAGGGAGTGGGGTGGGAGCTCAGGAGCGGCACTGGACTGCAAGAAGTGAGGGGGTTCTCTGTAGGAGTCATTGTGCTTCTCGGAGCAGGGTGGGGGACTTATCTGGGGTTGCATTTCCCTTGCAGTCAGTGTTGATCCAAGCAGAATTGGAGCCCCTGAGCCCCTGTCCAGGGCCCTTATTTTTCTTTTGTCCTAAGACTCAGCAATAACAGACAGCATGAGCCAGCAGATCCTTGTGGTCTTAGTGCTTCAGTTCATGGCAATGGCCATGGCTCCCTTTATAACCCATGCACTCCCCAGCTGTTCACTGCACTGAGAGCTGCAATGCAGCTGGCACCAAATGACAACAATCTGTCTCATCACACGTGTGTTAGGCTCCCGGACCAACTTCCAAACAAGCCCTTTTGTTCCTTTCACCTTCTGTGTCCATCTGTGATCACTTGTCTTAGACATAGTTCATAACCTCACCTTTTTGTACTGATTGCACAGTGCCTAGTGCCAGGGTCCATGGCTGGTAACGTGATTCCTCTAACAGCAGTTGTCTTCTCTTCTACCTGTTTCTCCAGGCATGTTTAACCTTCCTCTCCCTGTAGCGTCTGGAGAGATTCCAGGGTCTTCCCCTCCAAGCCTTCTTGGAAGAGAATTCATCACGGCCTTCATGCAGAACGACTTACAGCCCACGCTCAGCAGCGACTTCCGGCTGCTCATCACAGCCTATGACCCAGCCACGTTGATCACCATCTCCATGAAGAAGCCAGCACTCAGGGTGTCTGTCCAGGCGAGTGCTGGCCAGACTGTAACGGTGAAGATCCCACCCTATGCTGAGATGACAGGGTCCACAGTCTTCGACAACACGGTTGTTGTCTGGGCTGACAGTGACATCTCTGTCCTTTCGTTCAATTCCAAATCCAACTCAGCTGACACCACCCCAGTCTACCCGGTGCACAGCCTGGGAACAGAGTATTACGTCATCACGCCGACAGTGGGCACTGATCGCTATAGAGAGTTTGCCATTGTGGCCTGGGAGGGCCCCACCACAGTTGAGGTCTACCTGAAAGGGGCTGTCATTTTCCAAGGAAAGACACACGCTAGAGGGAGCAAACTCACCATCAAGCTGGAGGCGCATCAGGCTGCCCAGCTGCAGAGCCCAGTGGATGTATCTGGCACCAGAATTGTTTCCCAGAAGCCTGTGGCTGTCTACGTTGGACACACCTGTGTGACAAGAGCCACCCAGTGCGACCATGTGTCTGAGCAGCTCCTGCCTGTCTCCAGCTGGGGGACCAGCTTCATTGTGCCCTCATTGTCCTCTGAGAGGCAGCATGATTTCCTCTACGTCGCCACCTCCCAAACAACTCAGGTGGAAGTTCAATCTGGGAGGAGCAAGATCAGCAGAGCGCTGACAGCTGAGCAGGTTATGTTGTATGGAATCCCTAGCTCCACTGCCTTGCTCTTCTCCGCTAACGCCAGGGTCCAACTCATGTTCTTCTCCAATGGCGGGACCAAAGGCAACATCAGATACGATCCATTCTTCATGGCCATCCCGGCCATCTCAAGCTACTGCCAGTCCTATCACATCTACGGGTTCGATGACTTTGAGAACTACGCACTGATCATTGCCAAGACATCCGAGTCTGCAGGGGTAACCATTGATAAGAGACCACTGCACAACGTCCTGTGGAAGCCAGTTCTAGGCACAGAATACTCCTGGGCAGAATACAGCCTGGGCAAAGGGTTCCAGGCCCATAGCATGGAGCATGGCAGCTCCCCCTTTGGCCTGCTGAGCGTCGGGATTGGAAACCAAAAGGCGTTTGGCTCCCCAGCCATTTGTGCCAGCAGTGAGTACAGTGTTGTGACTCCTCACCCCTCTGCTTAGCACCTTTCTTCTTTCCCTTGAGTCAGCCTCAGGATTGTTCTCTGTGAACACGACAGAGAGATACACACCATGGTGGGAGAGTCATTTAAGGCTCAGTGCTGGCACAAGAACAAATGGATAGAACCTGGCCATGAATAAAGTTAGGGAAGGCATTAGATGAAGGTTTCTAACCCTCAGAGTAGTGTAGTTCTGGAACAGCCTCCCAAGGGGAGCAGCGGGGAAAGCCTGAACTTGTTTAAGACGGAACTTGGTACATTACCAGCTGCTGATAGCCTCAGTGCTCTCCTCATCGATTGTCCCATCACTGGCTGTGAGAGAGATTTGCTATGTCAACACAGCAGCATTGTTTTGATGTTATTCCAAAATAACAGAGAGTGTGTCTGCACAGCAAGCCCAGTATTTCAAAATAACTTTGAAGTAACTAACTTCTTACTCTGACTCCTGGAAACCTCTTTTCACCCGGTGTAAGGGAAGTTGGGGGAAGAGTGATCTTCCTTCAACTTCCTAGTGTGTAGACAGCACCAAAAGATGAATTAAGCTATTTCAACTTCAGCTACGCAATTGACATAGCTCAAGTTGCATAGCTTAGATTGATTTTTGTCCTGCTGTGTAGACATGCCCTGAGTTAATACAGCAAATGTATCTCCAGGTGTCCAGCATTTGCTCAGGGTCTGATTGGCCACCAGATTTGGGGTCGGGAAAAAATAGCAGAGACTCAGGGCGTGTGGGGAGGGATTGACTTCCCCTGCAGAATGGGGTTTGGGGCACCTGCTGGTTTCAACTAGACTAAATGGTCACATCAGGGTACAAAATACATCAGAGGGACAGAACAGGTCGTACTGGTGAAGGTGTGGCACTATACGCAAAAGAAAATGTAGAATCGAAGTAAAAATCTTAAATGAACCAAAATATTCCATAGAATCTCTATGGATAGTAATTTCACGCTCTAATAATAAGAATATAGCAGTAGGGATATATTACCGATCACCTGGCGAGGACAGTGATAGTGGCAATGAAATGCTAAGGGAGATTAGAAAGGTTATCAAAATAAAAAACTCAGTAATAGTTGACTGGGTACACGTCACCTCAGCACAGGATGCAGAGATAAAATTTCTTGATACCGTAAATGACTGCTCCTTGGAGCAGCTGGTTCTGGAGCCCACAATGGGAGAGGCTATTTTCAATTTAGTCTAAGTGGAGCACAGTATCTCGTCCAAGAGGTAAATATAACTAGACCACTTGGAAGTAGTGACCATAATGTAATAAAATGTAACATTCCTCTGGTAGGAAAAACACCTCAGCAGGCCAACACTGTGGCAATTAATTTCAGAAAGGGGAGCTACACAAAAATAAGGAGGTTAGTTAAACAAAAATTAAAAGGTACGGTGCCAAAAGTAAAATCTCTGCAAGCTGCATGGAAACTTCTCAAAAACACCATAATAGGGGCCCAATTTAAATGAATACCCCAAATTAAAAAACACAGTAAGAGGACCAAAAAAATGCCACTGTGGCTTACCAAACAAGTAGAAGAAGGCATGAGAGGTAAAAAGGCATTGTTTAAAAAGTGGAAGTTAAATCCTAGTGAGGAAAATGGAAAGGAGCATAAACTCTGTCAAATTAAGTGTAAAAATCATATATATAGTAGCCCAATGTCTGTGAGTCTGTAATGCTGATGTACTCGGCCCCGCCCCCTGGCCATGTATGTCACCGCCCCACCCTCTTCCCCTCCCTCCGTGGCGGCTCCCCCGGGGGCGCGGCGGCG